GAAAGAGAACTGACTCTAGGTGGTGCACACACAATGTGATATATAGATGAGGTATTGCAGAATTGTGCACCTTAAATCTATGTAACTTTGCTAACAATTGTCACCCCAATAAACTTCAATTAAAAGAAAAACAAAAACAAACAAAAAAACTCACCAAAACTCCCTCACAGACAGTGCTGTGTGAGCTGGTGCATTGTTGTGATGCAAGAGCCATGAATTGTTGGCAAAAATTCAGGTCATCTAACTTTTCCATGCAGCCTTTCAGCACTTCCAAATAGTGAACTTGGTTAACTGTTTATCCAGTTGGTACAAATTCATAATGAATAATCCCTCTGATATCAAAAAAGGTTAGTAAGATCGTTGCAACAAGTTCGTGAACTTAATTATCAGACCTTGTATCTTTAAGTCTGTTTCTGTTTTGTTTGTTCATCTGTTTTGTTCTTTAGATTCCACATATAAATGAGATCATATGATATTTGTCTTTCTCTGTCTGACTTATTTCACTTAGCATAATACCCTCTAGGTCCTTCCATGTTGTTGCAAATGGTAAGATTTCATTTTTTATTGCTGAATAATATTCCACTGTGTATATACAACACAACTTGTTTATGCATTCATCTATTGATGAACATCTAGGTTGCTTCCATATCTTGGCTATTACTAGTAATGCTGCAGTGAACACAGGGAAGTAGTGTTTTTGTTTTCTTCAGATAGATGCCCAGAGGCAGAATAGCTAGATTGTATAGCAGCTCTATTTTCACTTTTTTGAGAAATCTCATACTGTTTTCCATAGTGACTGCACTAATTTACAATACCACCAACAGTGCACAAAGGTTCCCTTTTTTCCCACATCTTTGCCAACACTTGTTTGTTGATTTACTAATGATGCTGATGATAGATAGATGTGAGGTGATATCTCATTGTGGTTTTAATTTGCATTTATCTGATGATTAGTTGAGCATTTTTCATATGTCTATTGGCCATTTGTATAGACAACTTTTCTTTTCAAATTTCCTTTTAAATTCTCTAATCAAGTTTGTAACAATTAAAAGCTTTTCTTGGGCCACATATCTTGTTTTGAATTCCCCTGATGCTATGTCATACAGATGGAGTACTCAAACAACTCTTTCCCCCATGTCTTGGTCTTGAATGTGAGCATGGAGGTGGAGATGAAATCCCAACACTTAGCCTGGAGGCCTAAATATAGGGCCACATGCATTGAACTGTCCTGGGGCGATGTGTGGACCCAAGCAAGAGCAGAGGAAAAGTAGCCTCCTGGAGGGAAGGAAATGATTGCATACAGAATTATTTTAAGCCAGAGGCAGTTGGTATCTCTTATGAGAAAACAAGTATTCAGTTACTTCTCCCATTATTTACAAATACAGAATTAGGTCTCATGCTTTTTTCCATTGTACCCTGAAACCTTCAATGCTTTGAATCTTAAATTCCCAGTGGACTAGTATTTGATGCAATCTTATACATTACTCATTTTTATATTTCCAAAGCTGTATTATTTATAAATAAAGAAAAATCCATGAAAACTAAAGCAATTTATGTACTGTCAAACAAAAAAAATTAAAAGTTTGAAAAGCTGGGAGTAAATATATATGTATAACTACATAAAGGTTTTTTTTTTTTAAGATTTTTATTGGGGTATTGGGGGAAGGGGAACAGACAAGTTGCTGTCCTTTTGTTCCTCAGTCTAGTTGTGGAGGACATCGCTTCACTGGTCCATGTTGGCACCATCATTGCGCTCTTCCCAGGAGAGGCAGATCAGTCGCCGGCTTCTGGACGGCCGCTCACTGCGGCTGCTGGCCGCTCACGCTGGCTGCTGGCCGCTCACGTTGGCTGCTGGCTACACACGGTAGCCCATGGCAATCCACTGCCACAGGGGCTGCAGCCTATGCCATCGCCGGCGACTCACGGCAGCCCAGCTCCAGGTCGAGCTGTTGTTCAGCATCTTAGCTGTGGAGGGCAGTGTCACTGGCCCTCATATGTGGGATCCGAACCGGGGCCCTCTGGTGTCCCAAACCAGTTCTTAACCATCGTGCCACTCGGCGGGCCCCGCAACTACACAAAGATTTTAAGTTAGGTATACACCTTACCCAAAGAGAAACATATCTAGAAAATATGTATTTACTTTTGTAAATATCTATTTAGATTTGATATCTTGCATATTTGTGAATGACTGTGAGGGGATCATATGATATAGATGGAAGGTTCAGAATGATTTCATTTTGTAAGTATACATGTTTAATGTTTAATATTTTGTGATTAGGCAAATTTGTATAACCAATTGATAAATAAATTCATATATATATACACACACATATATATATATATATATATCATGTTATAAAAATGTTCACGTGATACTGTTTTATAAAAAATGAAACAAAATTCAACTTTTTTTAATTATTATTTTTTATTGTGAAATACACATTTTTTTCGAATTAGTTTTAGCTGTACAACACAGTGCAATAGTTATACCTTTTATCAAAAATTTCAACTTTTGACTTGACAGTTTATCTGTGTATGTGCGTTTCTGTCTTACACTTCCCTCACCTCAAATGTTTACACTCTCATGTGCAGATTTTTCTTCATCGCTTTCATAGTTTGGACCTCCTCTCTCAGAGCATAGAGATCCAGGAAGGGATCGTGGACAAGGAGTGGAAAATTCAAGAAATTGGTAGAAAATTCCAGAAAGTTCTGGCTGATGAATTGCAGCTGAGGCTTCTCCCTTCTTCCTTCCCTGTCTGGTTTATCAGAACTACAATTCTGGCTCTGACCGCTAGGAGGAATCTGTCTTCTTTTTAATTTTCTTTTTAGTTATAGTTCACATTCAATATCATTTTATATTAGTTTCAGATGTAGTGGTTAGACATTTATATAATTTATACAGTGATCCCTCCCCTTGTTTTTTAAGGAAAGGACATGATTTGGATTTTTTTTTCTACTTTCATTATAGTGACCCATCAAACTCTGCTATTTCTTTTATATTTTCCATGACTGGTTTCTTTCTTTTTTCTTTCTTTCTTTCTTTCTTTCTTTCTTTCTTTCTTTCTTTCTTTCTTTCTTTCTTCTTTCTTTCTTTCTTTCTTTCTTTCTTCTTTCTTTCTTTCTTTCTTTCTTTCTTTCTTTCTTTCTTTCTTTCTTCTTTCTCTCTTCCTTTCTTTTTTTTGGTACTAACTCTCTGGGTAGGAGTGGAGTTCATTCCAGCCATGTGAGTATTTTGAGAACATTTTGTTACATTACCCTAACTTAAGAAAATTCCACATATCATAGCAAGAATTTATTAAAGCTGTGCATGGAGCAATCATCCCCATTCCATGGAATTCAATTCCAGTCTCTGTTTCTCCAGTTAGCATCTGACAAGCTCAAGCACCTCATTAAGCCTCAGTAACCTTGGAAAGCTGGTGATTCTGATATCAGAGTCCGCTTGTGAAGAACACGTGAAATGTAGCAAATTGAGAGCATTTTCTACAGCTGGCACTCAAAGTTCTCTAGGTTTGCAGAATGAAGGAACACAATGTAATGCAGCCAACAAAAAGCTTGGTGTTCAGAGTTACTTGTTTTTAGATATAAGTATCTAGGCTCCAGGCCTCCTAACCCTAGTTGGCCTCCTCTGCAGGGGAGTTTTGTTGGGAACAGTTCTCTGGGTATTAGGCTGGTAGCAAACTCAAAGAGTAGTGATTGCAGAAAGTTTAGTATCTTCTGGCTCTCAAGAATTTCTTCTCTATGCCATTGTGGACGGGGCTTCTGGTAAGGACTCCATCTTGTTTGTGTGGCCCTGGTAAAGTGGTTTAGGATCAGCTCTCATCTTCTTCAGCAGCCCTTGATCTTCTCCAAGCCTCCAGCTCTAGACTGCACAGATTCTCTTCAAAAGCAGCTTGTGAAGACATTGGTGACATGCCACTGCCTTCAGACAACATCATGGGTGAGTTGGTCAGCAATAGGACTTGGCCTTAGATTCCCACAAGACTGGATGGGTTCTGGGTCTCCTCCTGTAAACCAACCTACAGACAGGACACCAAACCGACCCCCCTTTAGAAGAGGGGTGGCCGGTCCCAGGGAGACTATTTTCACTCTCTTGAAAAAAGGGGCCAAGTGGGTCCTGACACACCCATCCTGATTCCATAGGGTAAACCTCCCTTCCCATGGAAGGGGTCATGGCTGAGGTGAAAAATTTTCCCTGGTTGAGGGGAAAGATCTGAACCATGTAGTCCTAAGGTCCAGGGTTTGGAGAGTGGGAAGGGACACCAAGTTTTTTTGGGGGGAGGGATTGGCAGAAATTAACATTCTATGGATTTATATTAGAGGTGGGCGGTGGGGCAGAAAACCCACTATTACCCTTGAATCTTACATCAGCTATTCAAGGTAGATTGTATTACCCCTTAGCAGTTCATTGAGGCTTGCTATGTCCTAATATATGATATATTCTGAAATATTCCTGTGTACTTATGTGCATTGTTCTCTGACAATTAACTAAATTTGCTAATTTATTTAATTCACATTTAAAAATCTTCTCGATCTAACTCAATTTTTGTCTGCCATTTTATGTGTCACTCAGTGAGGTGTGTTAAAATTACCCAATGTGACTGTGGATTTGTCCATTTCTCCATTTACTTCTATCAGTTTTTGCTTTGCATATTTTGGCTCTAAGACATGTAAACAAATTTTAAAAATTTCTAAACTATCTTATTTTTACATCAAACCTTTTATCATAATGAAACCTCTCTCTTTTCTCTAGTAATATTTTTCTTCTAATTATGCCATTTATTTCATCAATATGGTTAAACAAGCTTTTAGCAGGTTAGAGTGCAAATGGTATATATTTTGTCATTTTTTAATATCAAAATTTTGAGATAATTATATTTTGTGTGTATATCTTTTAAGGAGCATTTGATGGAAAGTTTTTTTATCCATTCAGATAATATTTGTGTTTATATTTGGGATATTCAGTCTAAAATTGTTATTGAAAATATAGATATACTTAAATTGGTTTACATATAACATAGCACTGTACATTTATTGTTGCCTATTCAAAGTCACTTTTCTCTCCTTTTCTTTGAAATGATTAATATATGTAACTATTAAATTATTCCCTAATTTGGCTAGGTAGTTAAACATTCTTTGCCATTCTTGTAGTGTTTACACTTAAGATTACAATGTACATTTTTGACTTTTCACAGTCTGATATAAATTAGTTCTTTAAAGTTCCTCAGGCAATGAAGGGACCTTGGAACACTTTGATTCCATTTTACTGCCTCCCAATTTATTGTCATGCATTTAAATTATATATATATATATATATATATATATATATATATGTCCGCAGAAGAAATCGTTATCATTGTGCTCTATAATCAATACTCATTTAGATTTTCCTACATAATCACAAATGTCATCAGCTGTTCTTTCCTGCATCTATGCACCTCCATCAGGGATCATATTTCTTCTGTCTTTAAAAAATAACCTTTAATATTTATTTTACTTTGAGTCTCCTTGTCACAAATGTTCCCAGGTTTTGTTAATACCATTATTAAATGTCTCTCTTTATTTAAAGGAACGTTTTTCCTTAAGCCATAATTTTTCTCCTATTAATATTGTTATACTGGCTTGATATGTTGTTACGTTTGGAAACTTTGCAACAAAGATCCCTTCAAACACCTCTTCTGCACTGTTCCCTCTCCTTCTTTCTGGGATTCAAATTAAACATGGCTTAGATAGGTTCACTGCATCTCCGTTAATTTTCTCCCCGTCTCTTTTGGTATTCTCCACATTATGTCTCTCCAGGCTTCATTCTGCATATTTTCATGACACTTCTGTTTCATTTCTCTAATTGTTCTCTCAGGTGGAAACTCACCTTTGACCCTTGTACCATAACACCAAACTGTCAGGGTAGATTTTATTATCCCTCTAGAGCAGAGAAGAGAAGTGAGAGTTAGACATGATAAACAACTTGTCCCAGGTCACTAGGCATGAAAGGGACAGAGCAGGGACTGACATAAAAGATTAAACCCAGCACTCAAACCCTCTCCCCTGTGCTTGTTTTCTTCTTGGCTGCAAATGCTCCCTACTTCTCATCTCCCAGGAAGTAGAACCACAGTGAAGTCTTTCAACGTTTTTAGCACTGTGATGTATTTCACTTGAGATTATAAAAACTAGTGATATTTCTTCATTACCTATTATATCTCCCCAGGACTTTTTCTGGTATTGGGAGCATTGATGTGCTGTTCTCAATTTCAGGGCACAATACCCAAGATATGACCTTACGAGGAAGACCAAGAGGCAGGAGTATGTACAGAGAGAGGTATAACTATGGGTCTCAACATGTCCGTTCCGGAATTCATCCTTCATTCCACCAGCAGCAAGATGGAAATTCAGCAACAAGTGGCATGCACATGGGCACCCGAATAAGACAGTAAGTGATCAGTCACCATGGCTGAAATATACCAGCCAGTGGAATTCATAACCCTGTAGTTAAACATGTCATTCTTCTCTTCAACCGGGAAGAAGGAGAAATGATAGGATCAGGTTGCTGGGTGAGCAAACTTTAATTTAGCCCTGGTATCAGTGGGACAAACACATATGGAAGACTTTCTGAGCATACATGGACTACTTATTTCTCTCCACTTCCCCACAGTGCTCCCTATGCCATTCCATGCTATCATCAGAGAGGCAATTTTCAGAAACATGACCAAACCCATGTTAACATGGAGAAGGAGCAAAAGCCTCTGGAGAGAATGGAGGAGCAGAAGCGGGATGAGACCTCAGGGAGCTGGTTCAAGATCATTGTGAGTGTCCTGGGAAAATGGACCTAATATGTAGAAGAAGGTGAACAGAAGGGTTTGAGGTGAACTCATGTAGATGCTAGGTAATTTTCTGGGGCAGAGGAGTTGGTAATCTGTCTTTTTATTACTAGGAGTTAACATCCTAGGTCATCTAAGGGTAGACTCAAAGAAGCAACATAAAGGGGACAGACTGACTGCAGGCAGAATGGGAGAGGTTGTCCAAAAGCAAAGGAGGAAACTGTTGCCAAGGAGATGGAGCAACTCCACACTGGAAGGCTCAGTTTGGCCCAAGCTGAGTGTGGGAAGAGGTTGAGACTCTGCGGTCTCTGTCAGAGGAGCAGGCCAGGTCTGCTTTAGGTTGGATCTCTTGGAGCTTTATAAAAGGAAATACATGTTAAATGTCTTCGGTTGATTATCTGAAGAAAACTATTTGAATGGGAAGAAAGGGTATTTAGGAAATCCATGTCTGGTACAAAATTTAGCAGTAATGGATGTTATCCTATCTCAAAAAGATTATTTTAAAACCTGAAAAAGAAGTCTGAAAGAAAGACATGGTTGGGTTTTATCTTAACCTTAGATTCCATTATGTCAATCTCCTCTCCTGTCTTTTCTCTGGCGCCTAGATTCCATTCGGCATAAGATATGATGAGAAGTGGCTGCTGAATTTGATTCAGAAGCAGTGCAGTGTCCCCTTCACCCCGGTTGAAGTAAGAGAGGAGAGTGAGGTGGATGAGAGGAAACAGGGCAGATGAGCAGGGGCTCTGGTCTCATATTCTGTTTCTCTTGCCACTCTCCCTACAGTTTCACTACGAGAAAATGCAGGCCCAGTTCTTCGTTGAGAATGCCAGCATTGCCTTCGCGTTGAAGAATGTCAATGGCAAGATTTGGGATGAAGATAATGAGAAGGTGTGTGTCAAGGGTATGACCAAGTCTAGCGAGGGGCGAGAGGGCAGGACAGGGGCAAGGTCTTGCTTTGATCCCAAGGCTCAGATTTCCTGGCACTCACCCAGCCCCTTTTGTGTTCTCTGCAGATATTTGTGATTATCCACCCCTCTGATGCACCGCAGTCTGTGCAGAAAAAGCTGAAGTCAGAAAAGGCAGAGCAGATAAAGGTAATGCAGACTCAAGACAAGTTGTGCATCTACATCCAGACCCACCTCTTTTCCCCCCATCTATTGCCCCCCTTCACCACCTCAGGCTCAGAGCCACTGAACCCCATGTCTAACTCTGCAGCTAACGGTGAACAAACAATATGGTGTCTCCCAGGATTCTCTTGACATCCAAAGACTCCACTTTGACCCCGTATGGCTACAGCAGTAATTCTAGGGCAGGTGAGGGCAGAGGGGTCTGACTGGGAAGGAGACTTAGGGATGGTAAGTTGGGGAGGTGTTGGTGCTGCAGCTTTACCAGCTGGGGCACTTTCAGTGTTCTGATTTCCTCCTCTCGGCTTTCTTGAGAATTGATGACCTGTGATACTGAAACAGCACCAAATCCTAGAATCTGCATGGCTGTCTCCCTGCTGATCGATGAAGAGAACATCACCAAAGAGAGGACCTAGGCCCAGTGCAGGGATGGATGGTGAGGGTGGAGAGATTAGGTTGAAGAGGCAGATTGTTCTCAGATAACTCCTGTTGGGGTCCTCACTCTAACTCTCTCATCATTATAGCTTTTGTCCTTTAACCAGGGCAACCAGAAACCCTACCAGCTGGATGACCTGTCCACCACTATGCAGGGTGCCTCCAACATCATGGACTTGAACCTCTCCAACAATGAGGTAAACTTTGCTGCATAGACCCTTTCTTGAAAGGAAGGTGGGAGGGCTCCTGGGGCGGTGACAGGGAAGTGGATTTGCTAGAAAAGAAAGGGACTTGGGTTACAGATCATCCTGGCTCTCTTTCTCTGGTCCATGGGGTTGTTTCCTATAATTATAGGTGAACCCTGCAGGGCAGTTGGCCAAGGGCAAAGTGCTGGAGCCAGAGGAGATGAGTGCAAACAGGAACCGTCTATGCACCACCATCCCAGATAAGTCAACCAACATAAGGTCAGTTGTACTCTCTGTCACCCCTGGCAAGCCTGAGCTACCCTGGTGGTGCCTGTTTGCAGGAGGCAGCAACCCTGAACCTCTGGGATGACCACAGGCCTTATGCTGTCTTCCCTGTGTCCCTCACCTGTGCTTATATGACTCCTTTCCTTCCTCTGACTGGCCTACCTGTTCTCATGGTCTGGGGTCCGTTTCCCACCTCCGTGCACCCTGTTTTATCTAGCATGCCCTCTCAAGAGTGTGCTCCAGAAAGCAGGGCATTGCCTCCTCACCAGGACCAGTGTTGACCAGCCTTGAGGCAGGCAGATGCTGGTGACCTGAAATGAGAATTGTTCTCCAGCTCAGGGCCTCATGCTGAGACAGACCTTCCTATTCTGTGCTGAGATGGGGCTTCCCTCCCCTGCCCTGAGAGGGGTCTTGTTTCCCTTGCTCCAAAATGTTCTCCCCTCTAATCACAGGCTGACGTGGGGACTTTCTTGCCTCACGCTGGAGGGCTGAGGCCCTGGGTGGCTGCCATCATGACATCTGTTCTTCTGGCCCACTGCCATGATTTGGACCCTCCTTGAGAAAAACCAGGGTTCCCTGAGTCAGGGGCCAGAAGTGGGCCACCACCAGTGAGCACAGGGCCTTCCGAGGCAGCAGTGGAAGGTAGAGGACAAAGGTGGTTGAGGAGACAGAAGGACAGGCCTCTCAGGGGCACCCCCTCCCTCCCTCCACACATCACATCTTCCTGCCTGGGCCTTCAGAGGAGTCCTGAGTAGCCTCACAGTTATGGTTCCTCAGGCATGGTACCAACTAAGACAGGCACAGGTGCACAGGAGCCATGAGGAGAGAAGGAAGTCATCATAGGAGGAGGCCACAGACCCTCTACCCCATACTGAGCTGGAGGCTGATGCTTTACTCCTTCTGGGGACAGTCTCTAGCCCCTGTGGCTGCTTCGTTTCCCATGCCCAAGTCATACTGAGTTTGCACAGGTGACAAAGTTTCAAGAAGCATCCAATGGGCCCCTAGCCCAACATACATGTGCATGTTTTACATTTCTACCTAGGGTCCCAGGGCCGGCCAGGAGCAGGTGAAGGAAAAGCACCCAGCCCCAAATGCTTCTCCTTATGCCACTGGAGAAAGGAGTCAGGGCAGTCTAGGTGGGAGCTACCTAGGGAGAAGAAGAGGGAGATAGAGGGAGAGGGGCGGGGAAGAGGGAAGGAAGGAGAGAGAGTGAGAGCTGTTCCTATGGGTCTGTCTATGGGGAAGGTGCCCAGGTCCCTGGAAGGCTGGGACGCTGGTGTAGGTGGGACACACTGGGCTTTGTGTCTGGTGTAGGTGTGCTTGCTCCAGTGAGGCAGGGCTGCTCTGCAGGTTCACTTACTTTTTCAGTTTTGTTGATTTTGACAGCTCCATCCTGGAATTGTTCCCCAAGTTACTATGTCTGGTAAGTGTATTCCGTGATCATTGACTCTTCTAAGTGGCACTGACACTGCCCACAACCTGCCCCAAACCTCCTCATGACTGGCCCAAGTTACATTTTTGGATCTGACCCTTAATACTCATTGGTGGATAGACCCATGTGGGCACCTGACAAGGGATCTGGACCTTCCTCACACGAGTTCTCCTTAGGCTTCAGGGATCCCATGATGACGATTGAAATATAGTCCTGCCCGTGGAATTTCTAGGCCCCTTCGCACCTGGTCTCTGACCCTCACCCTCTCCTGGGCCCCCCCTTTTCCTGATTATCCAGGGCCACCTCCCTGGTCTTCACTGCTGACTTCCTCTTCCCTTTCCCAGGATGGCCAGGAACCAACCCCACCCACTAACTTTGGTGTGGAAGCCCACAAGAAGTTACCAACCTGCAAGGTGAGGAGCGGGGATCCAGGAGGTTTTGGGTGGTGCATGAGGACAGCGTATCAACCGTGGTCCTGAGGACTGTTTTGATTTCAGGGAAGCTTCTTTGGATCTGACGCGCTGAAGAGTCTAGTCCTGCAATTCCTGCAGCAGTAAGCACTCCTGGGAATCTGAGGAAGGGGAGGGCTAGGATCGGTGAGGTCACCCACTCTCAGAACTGCTGACTGGGTCTATCACGTCACCTCTGGGGCCCGGTTCACACAGGCAGCCTGTCCCCTTTGCTCCCCCACAGGTATTACTTGATCCATGACTCTGGAGACCGACAGGGTCTCCTCACTGCTTATCACGACGAAGCCTGCTTCTCCCTGACCATTCCCTTCAACCCCGAGGACCGAGCCCCGTGAGTGTCGCAGCTCAGACTCTGCTCTTGGGCCATCTGACTCCCCAGTATACACCAGCCAGCTTCTGGAAACACTCACACTGACCAGACCACCACCCCTCTTTCTCTTTTCTCCTAGAAGCAGCTTGTTTGAGTACTTCAAGGATAACAGGAATATGAAGAGCCTCAAGGACCCCTGTGCGTGTGTGATGGGTTAGACTGGGCAGGGAAAGGGGACACGAAGGAGTCAGTCATAGGGCCCGGGGTGTGGCAACCATGACCTTCACTGTCCTCCTCCCCACCTCACAGACCTGCGGGTTCAGCAGCTGAAGTATACAAAACGTGACATTGTGTGCTCCCTCTGTGTGTTGCCCAACACTCAGCATGACCTCCTCTCCTTCGTGGTGGACTTATGGTTCCAGACGGTGAGCGCCCCTTCCTCTCTCGGGCAGGCCCAGAAAGTCCCAGGTGGGTAGGAGGTGTAGGTGGTAACTGAGCACCTGAGCTCTTCGTTTTCAGGAGAAGATGCTCTGCTTCTCTGTCAACGGGCTGTTCAAGGAAGGTGAGTGCGTGTAGACTCCCCTCTGCAGATGTCCCACTGCTGCTTCCCTCTGGGTGGGCTCCCTCTCAGAGCTCTTCCCGCTTCCCTGGTCCCTCCCCTTTCCTTCCTATTCCCTCTGTGTTCTCCCGAATCCCCTCTGGTCCCAAACCACCCTGGTCTGACCTGCATCCATGGCCTCACAGCTCGGGCCTTAGGGACACACACACTCTGGCCTTTGATGGCTGTCGTCCTAGATGCTTACCTTGAGAACTTGAGCCAGTTACTTAAGCTCTTTTTCTTCATTTGCAAAATGAGCTTAATAATACCCATCTGATGGGTAGCTGTGCAAAATGAAACCTATGAACTTGTGAAGGGGTTGTCCCAGGGCCCGGCACATGGTAACATCCCAGTCAGTGGGAGCAGATGGCCCCTATTGTTGCCCTCCCCATTCCTGACACCCGGATTCCCAGTGAACAGTTGTTCCCTTCTGGCATGAGTATCAAGTCAGACCCCGACAGGGGAAGGCAGTGTGAAGCATGTGTGACTCTAAGGGGCTGTTGTTTGTTGTTGAAGTGGGAAAAAATTATCAGGGTTCTGTGCGTGCCTTCAGCCGGACCTTCATCATTACCCCTGCCAGCAATTCCAGGTGAGTCCTGCGCCATGGGTGGGAACGCCCAGCCCAGCCTGGGCCCAGGTGTGTGGGAATGTGCATGTCCTTGGGGTTTTCTCAACATTGTGGGAAGCCAACAGGTAGATCCAAGGAACAGTCCAGTATAGGGGTTAAGAGCATGGGCTCTGGGGTTAGAGCACTGGGTTCTCTTCCTGACCCCAACACTCACTAGGTGTGTGATCTTGGTTAAGTCACATGACTTCTCTGTGACTCAATGTCTTTCTGGGTAAGTGGGGATTAGACTGTCCACTCCCTTGGGCTGTTGTAAAGCGTAAATGCAAGTACGAAATCATTCCTGGGTAGCAGGTAAAGTGTAAATCTAGTGAAGCTGGGAGAGAATCTCTCCAAGAGTGGGCTCTGTGGGTGGGGCAGAGCTAAAAGCCAAGGAACCTGGGGGGCAGGCCCAGTCAGATTATGGAAGGAATGTGGTTGCTGAGTGGCAGCAAGAGCAGGGTCCTTGGTGGGGATGTGGGGTTGTCCTTCCATCAGTTGTCTGAGGGCCCATTTTTCATCCAGTCTATGTGTCGTGAATGATGAGCTGTTTGTGAGGGACACCACCCCCAGGGAGACTCAGAGTGCATTCTCCATCCAAGTGCCGAAACCCATCTCAAGCTCCGGGCCCACCCTCTCCCAGGAGCAGGAAATGGTGCAGGCTTTCTCCACCCAGCCTGGGATGAGCTCCAGTGTCCTCAGAAGTGAGTGCTGGGTGTGCATGTGGACAGGAGGGAGCTGGGAGGAGCAGAGGAGTGAATAGTGGGAACTTGCAGGTAATTTGTATTGCTTGTGCAGTTCCCTGGTCACCCTGAACAGTTCCCTGTCGGTGTACATAAGCTACAAAGTTGTTTTCAACATGTGTGTATTCCTTTATGAATTTCATAGACCTCGTTCCTTTACTGACAGACATTTGGGTTCCAGGCATTTTTCCAACACACACTGTGCCACAGGGCTCATTCCGCTGCATATCGCGCAGCAAACGTGGAGGCATGCTTCTGTCGCATAGATTAAGAAATGGCATTGCGTGGTCAGCGTGTCTCCACTTCAGTCCTAATTGATGTCACCTGCCTTTGCTCCACCCCAGGTGCCTTCATGACCACGACTGGGAACTACACCGGAGTTGCACAGGTGCTCTCTCTGCCCAAGGTGAGGTCTGGGAATTCAGGCCAAGAGAGTGGAACCCGGGTGGCCTGAGGACGAGACTCAGGGCTTCTGGCTGTGCTGCTCTCTCAACTCCCTCCCTTCACTTCCTCCAGGCCAACCACAAGATCCCATAGGAGGCCCTCACACAGGCTGAGGCAGGATTCTGAGAACACAGCCCCGACAAGAATCCCTTGGGTATCTTCATCTTCATCCCCGTCATCTTTGTTGTGCTTTCCCTCCAGCCTGAGTATATCCCTGTGATTGAGACAAGAGTTCTGCTTGGAGATGGGCAGCCATCGCTAAACTGACACTCATCCACCCAAAGGGCCAGTTGTCTGTGTAATTTGTTCCACCCAGGATCCCTGATTCTTTTCATAATAAAGAATGATGTTGCCTGTTATGTCAAATCCCTGCAAAATCCATTCGAGAGCAGTAGTAGTATCACTGGTCTATAGAGGAAGAAGGGGAGAGTCAGAGAGATCAGGGAGTCCTGGGGAACAGTGGGGCAGAGAAATCACATCCTAGACCCTGTAGAGCCCAGGCTGTGTGTGCTTCCCAGGGCCGCGTGGCTTCTGAGGTGCAGATACTCTGTTAGTCTGGTAAACCTGGGTGGGTGTGGTCCGTGCCCCTAGGGTTTTAGGCAAATATTTTTAGGCAGCAAACCGTATTATTTTTGTAGCTATGCAAATCCATTCAAATTAAACAATCCATTGAGGAAAAATAGCATTAAAGACCAAGTGACAACCTGGGAAGAAAAATTGTCCTCATATGTGACTGACAATGGATTAATGTCCTTGACATATAAAGAAATAAGTAGAGAAAGGGGGAACTGATATTAAAGTAGAATTGTTATTTAAAGTATATTAGGAATTCCCAAGAAATCTGTGAAATCTACCCTACCATAATAACCTACAAAACCAGGACTTTAAACACTGAGATATAATTCAATCCAATTTCTTTAAACATGACTTTCACATAATATCACATTTCAATCTCCCAATAGGGTTTATGTTGTTGGACTGGCTGTTTACAATGAAATCCAATAGCACTGAGGTTTGGGTAGCATTATAAAATTTAAACTCAAAATTCACAATCACCGCTGTGTTGGGTGTAAAGGGGAGATTTTAAGAGCTATAAAATAATGTCCATCTACCTTATAACCCTATAAATGAACCTGGCAGCAAAAAAAATCTATTTTATAATTTATTCTGCTAGTAAGTTTTGTGAATAAACAATGCCAGCATTATATCATTTAAAACGAACCCTCTCCTTGAAATATTGTACTTAATTGTATCATTGTGAAGTGAATTGTTATTTTTTGGAAAAGTTTGATTTTAAGAAATGATAGCATTTTCCCTTCTCAAAAAAGAAGAAACTAGAGGAAGAAAAGCTAATACAAAACTTGATTACTATAGCAAAAATCAGGGAAGAGAAAAAGAAAAAGAGGAAAGAATGAGATTCAGAAAAAATAAAATATAAGGAGAAAGATAAATATATATTCCAAGTAAATGTGATTGTTTTATATCCCAACATCCAAAGTAAAACACTCCACTAGAAAAATGTGCAAAAAACACAAAACAGTCAAGTAACAAAGAGAAATGAATATCTGAAAATCAAGAGATAAGTATATTGAAAAAGAAATGAGGGGTCACTTCCGGTAAGATGGTGGAATAGACAGATGCTTTGATGACTACCTCCCAGGATCACAATGAAATTACAAATAATTTATAAGATATTCAACCTCGGAAGTTCCCTGGACCCTAGATGAACAGAACCTCTAAATGAAGGACTTAAAGACCAGGCCACCTCAAGTCCGGTAGGAGGGGTGGAGACGAGAGAGGACGAACCCCGTGAGGGTCACCTCAGCAGTGGGGAGGCTTCTCTGGTTGCGGGCGAGACCCTCCGGCCCCACACTGAGCTCACCACCCCAGAGTTACGTTGCCTGGAAGAGGAATTCTATGATAGCTGGAAGGAGAAAATAGTGAGGACTCTCTTTGCTCGGCTTGGTGAGGCTGGGGTTGTCTGCAGAAACAGTGGAGCCGGCAAACCGACTCGCTTGCTGGTGAGCACTCACCCGGTTCCTGGTGGAGGGAGTAGCGTTGTGAGCGGGGCTCAGGAGCCTGCAGGAAGGACTGAACTGAGTGCCTTTGGCACAGGAGCTGGAGGTTTTTTGAAACATTGTTCCCCTGGTGTGGAGCTTGCACACGAGTAGTGCACAGGAAGGCGCCATTTTTTCAGGGCTGGGCCCTCCCACAGAGGCTCAGGTCTGGGACTGTATTGGGCTGCTGGAATTGGCGCAGGAGTGCGTGTGTGCGTGCGCGCATGCACATGTGGCCTTGGATCCCCACCCTCCATACTGTTTGTGCTGCGTAGCCAGGGAAACGCCGGGCAAGTGCGCTCCGACTCCAACAGACTGCTTATTGAGACACGGAAGACCGCGACTCGCCTTAGGTTCCTCATTTCCGCACTGTGCATGTAGAGTTTTCTTGGTGGCAATTGGCTGTCGGGCTGCTTTGCCTGATCTTTGAGCGGCTGATTGGGACAGGCTGAGACAGGGAGTTTTTCTGGGAGTGTAGGGGCATGAACTGTGCGCCTGCATGATTCAGCCGGGGCTTTCCAGGCAAGTTTGTGTGGGTTGGCTGCTGATGCAGGAGTGCATGCTGCTCTGACTTGGTGGGGGCCACTGACCACATCCTGTGGTGCCTTGGGGGCCTGCCCCACTCACCTAGAGCTGTGTTGCCAGGGCAACACTGGGGCCCTGGTCCCTAGCTCCTACCTCTGCAGGCAACAGAGGTTTTTTTTGCAGCAGCAGACAGCCCGCAACAATCTGTGAGGATTTTTGGTGGTGAGCACAGTTCCAAAGCACACAGCAACTAATTGTGGGAAGCTTACTTCAAGTCTAGAGGGAGGTTGGCACATGACACACTGAACCCTTCCCCCCAGCAGCTGGTGCTGAGTCGCCCAGAATCTCTCTATTGCTGAGCAAGTGGTCTCCAGATTACAGCAGACAGAGAGCCCCTCCTTTATTTTCTCTTTTTCCTTTTTTTCCCTTTTTCTCTTTTTCTCTTTTTTCTTTTTTTTTATTTTTTCTTTTTTCTTCCTAGGTGATCTAATACATCGTAGCAATCAGAGTGACAGCCAGAATGAAGAAACAAAGAAACATGTCCCAAGGAAAAAATCAGAAGAAACCTCAAGAAATGAAACTAAATGAAACAGAGGTATCCAACCTTTCAGAGACAGAGTTTAGTACACTGATGATAAGAATGTTTCAGGAACTTAAGGAGGACATAAAGAAGGATACAGAAATCACAAAAAGCAACCAGGTAGAACTAAAGAATACAATAACTGAAATGAAATGAACACACTCGAAGGAATCACCAGTACATTAGATGAAGCAGAGGATTGGATCAGTGAATTAGAAGACAAAATAGCAGAAATCACCCACTTGGAACAACAAAAAGAAAAAAGAATAAAAAACAATGAAAATAGTCTAAGAGACCTGTGGGACAACATCAAGTGCAACAACATTCGCATCATAGGAATACCAGAAGGAGAAGAGAAGAAGCAAGGGATCGAGAATTTATTTGAAGAAATAATGACTGAGAACTTCCCTACCCCGGTTATGGAAATCGACATACAAGCCCAGGAAGAGAGTTCCAAACAAGCTGAACCCAAACAAATCCACACCAAGACACATCATAGTAAAAATGGCAAAGGTTAATGACAAAGACAGGATCCTTAAAGCAGCAAGAGAAAGACAACAGGTTACATACAAAGGAACTCCTATAAGACTAACAGCTGACTTTTCCACACAAACTCTGCAGGCGAGAAGGGAGTGGCAGGAAATATTCAAAGTGACGTAAAATAAAGGCCTACAACCAAGATTGCTCTACCCAGCACGGCTATCACTTAAAATTGAAGGAGAGATAAAGAGCTTCTCAGAAAAGAATAAACTTAAGGAATTCATTACCACCAAGCCAGCATTGCAGGAAATGCTAAATGGGCTTTTTTAAACAGAAGAAAGGGGAAAACAAGCTAACCCAGGAAGATCAGAAATACAAATAACAAAATGGCAATAAATATGCACCTATCAATAATCACTTTAAATGCGAATGGATTAAATGCTCCAACCAAAAGACATAGAGTGGCTGAGTGGATAAGAAAACAGGACCCATGCATATGCTGTTTACAAGAGACTCATCTCAGATCAAAAGACACACAAAGACTGAAAGTAAAGGGATGGAATAAGATATTTCATGCAACTGGAAATGAGAAAAAAAGCGGGAGTAGCAATACTTATTTCAGACAAAATAGACTTTAAAATGAAGACTACAGTAAATGACAAAGGACACTACATAATAATAAAAGGATCAATTCAACAAGAGGACATAACCTTAGTAAACAGCTATGCACCCAACATAGGAGCTCCTAAATATATAAAAGAGATTTTGACGGACATAAAGACAGAGATCAACAGCAATTCTATCGTAGTAGGGGACTTCAACACTCCGTTGTCACCAATGGACAGAGCCTCCAGACAGAAAATCAACATGCAAACAGTGGCCTTAAATGACACTTTAGAACAGCTGGATTTAATTGATATTTTTAGAGCATTTCACTCCAAAACAACACAATATACCTTCTTCTCACGTGCACATGGAACATTTTCCAAGATAGACCACATGTTAGGACACAAAACCAGTCTCAATAAATTTAAGAATACTGAAATCATATCAAGCATCTTCTCCAACCACAATGCTATAAAACTAGAAATCAATTATAAAAAGAAACTTGGAAAGCACACAAACACATGGAGGCTGAATAACATTCTACTAAATAGCGAGTGGGTCAAAACTGAGATTAAGGAAGAAATCAAAAGCTATCTCAAGTCAAACGACAATGAAAACACAACAACTCAAAATCTATGGGATGCAGCGAAGGCAGTCCTAAGAGGAAACTTCATAGCATTGCAGGCCTATCTAAAGAAAGAAGAACAATCTGATATCAACAGACTATCTTTACACCTAAGGGAACTGGAGAAAGAACAGCAA